CCCCCCTCAGTGCCGAGCCCCTCAGCGCCGAGCCGCGGTCCCCTCAGGGCAGAGCCCCGGTCCCCACCTCAGCGTCAAGCCCCTCAGCGCCGAGCCGCGGTCCCCTCAGGGTAAAGCCGCGGTCCTTTCAGCGCCGGGCCCCGCTCCCCTCAGCACCGAGCCGCGGTCCCCTCAGGGCAGAGCCCCTCAGCGCCGAGCTCCGGTCCCTTCACCGCCGGGCCCCTCAGAGTCGAGCCACGATCCCTTCAGCGCCGGGCCCCGCTTCCCTCAGCACCGAGCCGCACTCCCCTCAGCGCCGGGCTCCTCAGCGCCAAACCCCAGTCCCCTCAGCGCCAGGCCCCTCAGCGTGGAGCCGGGTCCCCCTCCCCTCCACCCGGCCCCGCCGCCGCCGCCCCCTCCGGCGTCCCACCTGAGCTCCAGCTGATCCAGGTTCTCGAGGAGGCGGCTGGAGCGGTCCGCCATGGATGTGGAGCGGTAAAAGCGGCCTCGGAGCTGCCCGCCGGATTGCTGCTGCTGCTGCTGCGCCGCCGCCTCACTGGCCTTGGCGCTGATCTTGGCCTGGGCCATAGCACCCGCCCGCTTGCCGGCGGCGGATCCTCGCTGCGGCTGCGGCCGCTCCCCTTTCCCGCGTCCCGCAGGCGGCGGCCGAATGCCGGGCACCTCGCTCATGGCCAAAGAAGGAGGCCCGCCCCCACGTCGGCCCTGCGGACACCCCGCCTTCCTCCGCCGCCAACCCCCGGGGTAAGGGAAGGGGCGGTGGTGTGTGGGGGGGTGGTGGGTGACACCCCGGGGGGGGATTAAACCCCCAGGGGACAAGCGTTTCTTGGTTGATAGGGTCACCTCGGGGTCTCTCCGTGCCCTGGAAAGCTCTTGGAAGCAGTTTTCATGGCCCTTCCAAGTTTCTAAATGGGAAAATATCCCAGGTTGCACAGGCAGTAATGTTGAGGCTTGTCCCCAAAGACCATTTTGGCTTATAAACCTGTGTTTTGGTTCCAGGGCTTGTGCTACTCTCACTTCTAGGGTAAAATGCCATTTTGCTCTTAAAGAGGGTAAGTCATATGGGACATTTGGACCCAACTACAGCTCTTCTGTGTCTGTGGTTCATTGCAGCTTCTACCCACATGGAATTAAACACCTGTGAAAGGAAAAAGAAAAATGTTCAATAGCTGTTCGGCTATTTCGATTTCTCCTTTTTAAACCAAATCTGATTAATGCTTAATAAATTGGCTTGGGAAGAATAGGAGGATCCAAGGAAAAAAGTGCTTGCAAGCTGTGTGCCGTGGCTACAAAGGGTTTCTGTTTGGGGTGGGAAGCGGTTTTTAATTATCAAAGACTGTAGGGAGATGGATGGAACAATTGTTCAAATGCAGTTATTTCCATGAGCTCACAGGCAATGAGCCTTACTTATCCGTAAGTACATAAAACAAAGAAAACTTGGGCAATTAATTTAACGAGAGCGCTTGGGACATGATATCATCCTGAATGGCTGAGCCTGAGAAAACAGCTATTTTGAATCACAGCGGGAGAAGCGTACAAAGCAGTATCCCTGTGCAACAAAATCCCTCTTAGTTGGGTGCCAAAAAGTCGGTCTCTTAGAGCCGTGGGGTATTTGCCCAAACCTGGACTTTTGGGGTAAGCGAATTCCTTTTTCAATACTCACAGTAGTGGCAAGTGAAGCCCGTGTGTGACTTGAATTGCTGGAACCGAGGCTCCCAGCAGGAACCTGAAGTAGAAGAGACTCTGGGTGTTGTTTGCCAAGTTGGAAGGGTGGGTGAGAGAGAAGGTACCTCAGAACAAGTCATTACTAGATGTAGATAGATCCACTACCTTGGCTACCATGAAACAGATATGTTTTTTCTTTCTTTCTGGCTTAAAAAGAGAACACTAAGTGCTTTTCTTTCCAGTCAGCATGGATAGCTTACTGACAAGGATGGTGAGTAGAGTGGCTTCTTTTCTGCAGGTAGTCAGGGGCCTCTTACAGCTGGCTTCAGGAAGATGTGTGATCATTGGTAATATCCCAAGTATCTTGGTTTTAGGATTCAGGTTCTGTACTGCTTGCAGTAAGGGCTGTCTCTGGTTTACTTTTCTCCAACTCAACCAGGCTTCTGGATTTTTAAAGCATTTCTTCTTGTCTTCCTCCCATTTCTTGCGTTTTCAGATGTTTCAGCTTTGTAGCTCGCTTTATTTTTATATAAAACTATTCATAACAGTGGGATGGTGGTGGGGCCTTCTTGCTTTCTTTAACGAAAGGGCAAACTGCTGAACCAGCCACACAGAACAGTTCTGGAAGGCAAATCCTCGTATTACCTGCTACCATCTCACATGGAGTTAATATAGATATTGAAAAACTCATTACTCCTTCCTCAGCATCTGATTTACACAGAATCATGGAATGGCAGGGCTTTAAAGGGACCTTTGGAGATCATCTAATCCAACGCCCCTGCCAAAGCAAGTTCACCTAGAGCAGGCGGGACAGGAACACATCCAGGTGGGTTTTGAGTGTCGCCAGAGAAGGAGACTCCACCACCTCTCTGGGCAGCCTGTTCTAGCACCCTCAAAGGAAAAGTGTTTTTCCTCATGTTGAGATGGAATTTCTCTGTTTCAGCTTGTGCCCATTGCCCCTTGTCCTGTCATCACTGAGAAGAGTCTGGCCCCATCCACTTGACTTTTTGGCCTTTCCCTGAAAACACCTATTTTCATACATTCACAGAACAGCAGGGGTTGGAAGGGACCTCTGGAGATCATCCAGTCCAAGCTAGGGCAGGTTCAACCACAGCAGTCTGGGCAGGAACACATCCAGGTGGGTCTTGGGTGTCTCCAGAGAAGGAGACTCCACAGCCTCGCTGGGCAGCCTGTTCTAGGACTTTGGCACTCTCAAAGAAGTTTATCCTCATGTTCAGATGGAATTTCTTGTGCCTGTTGCCCCTTTTCCTGCAGCCAGGCACCACTGAGAAGAATCTGACCCCATCCTCTTGACACCCACCATTTAGATATTTAGAAACATTGATGAGAGCCCCTCTCAGTCTTCTGTTCTCCGGGCTGAACAGACCCAGGTCTCAGCCATTCCTCACAAAAAAGGTGCTCCATTCCCTTGATCATCTTTGTAGCCTCTGATGGACTCTTTCCAGCAGTTCTGAACTGTTCTGGGGGCCCAGAACCAGACACAATACTCCAGATGTGGCCTCACTGGGCCAGAGTAGAGGGGGGGAGGATGACCTCCTTCCACCTTCTCCCCATGCTCTTTTCCATGCGGGGAAGACTGGTTGCCCTTTGTGGCCAACAAGGGCTGCCTCATGGGCCACCAGGACCACCATGGGTTTTTGGGGGGGACTGGGGACTGCACCAGGGGTCTCTCCGTGCCCTGGAAAGCTCTTGGGGAGCAGCAGAGGCACCGTACGGCGCCTCTGCTGCTCCCCAAGAGCTTTCCAGGGCACGGAGAGACCCCTGGTGCAGTCCCCAGTCCCCCCCAAAAACCCATGGTGGTCCTGGTGGCCCATGAGGCAGCCCTTGTTGGCCACAAAGGGCAACCAGTCTTCCCCGCATGGAAAAGAGCATGGGGAGAAGGTGGAAGGAGGTCATCCTCCCCCCCTCTACTCTGGCCCAGTGAGGCCACATCTGGAGTATTGTGTCTGGTTCTGGGCCCCCAGAACAGTTCAGAACTGCTGGAAAGAGTCCATCAGAGGCTACAAAGATGATCAAGGGAATGGAGCACCTTTTTTGTGAGGAATGGCTGAGACCTGGGTCTGTTCAGCCCGGAGAACAGAAGACTGAGAGGGGCTCTCATCAATGTTTCTAAATATCTAAATGGTGGGTGTCAAGAGGATGGGGTCAGATTCTTCTCAGTGGTGCCTGGCTGCAGGAAAAGGGGCAACAGGCACAAGAAATTCCATCTGAACATGAGGATAAACTTCTTTGAGAGTGCCAAAGTCCTAGAACAGGCTGCCCAGCGAGGCTGTGGAGTCTCCTTCTCTGGAGACACCCAAGACCCACCTGGATGTGTTCCTGCCCAGACTGCTGTGGTTGAACCTGCCCTAGCTTGGACTGGATGATCTCCAGAGGTCCCTTCCAACCCCTGCTGTTCCGTGAATGTATGAAAATAGGTGTTTTCAGGGAAAGGCCAAAAAGTCAAGTGGATGGGGCCAGACTCTTCTCAGTGATGACAGGACAAGGGGCAATGGGCACAAGCTGAAACAGAGAAATTCCATCTCAACATGAGGAAAAACACTTTTCCTTTGAGGGTGCTAGAACAGGCTGCCCAGAGAGGTGGTGGAGTCTCCTTCTCTGGCGACACTCAAAACCCACCTGGATGTGTTCCTGCCCAGCCTGCTCTAGGTGAATTTCCTTTGGCAGGGGCGTTGGATTAGCTGATATCCCAGGGTCCCTTTAAAAC